AGCTCCCGCGTCTCACACACACGAGCGCGACTTCAGCGCTAGATTTAGCAACTTTCAGATGCTTTTAGCGGCTTTTTCCCATAGAATATATATACTGACAAACCTAGAGACTTTTTTGGATAAATCTTAGCTATGATTCAGTTGGAAGATTCGCCAGTGCTGCCCCGCGAGCGCGAGGTCTGACTTTCCCGGCGCAGTGTCGTCTCTCTCTGCGTCTGTTCTGTGCAGTGAGCGGCAGAGAAGCATCGCTTTCAGCCGACTCGTCAATAAATGAGTACAAAACAGCGTTTCCAAGCACCTGTCGCTTACTGACTGTTTGGAATGATAAATATGAGCATAGTTCGTCTATTAATATAATGTAAATTTTTTATTTTTTTTGTTACTCAGACGCAGGCAGTGCGCTGCATGAGACAAAAAAGTAATATAGCCAAAACCACCGCATAGCCGCTCAACATGCATCTACTGTACATGCATGTTGATTTTATCAGACGATGTCGCGATTATAAATGAGAGTGACTCCTGGTTAACATGTATAAATGGGTCGTGTTTCGTCACTATTTAGAGTGGAATTTTTCTACAATATTCACTCATCATGACAGTAAAATAGAGCATTCTAAGTCAATCTACTGAAGTAGCCTATTTCCTCTCTCAATCAATAGAAAATGTGGTTTACACCCGGTCATGCATGGAAAAAAATTTATAAATACCGTCATATACCGTGAAACCGGTATAATTTTGAAAAATACCATGATATAAATTTTTGGTCATACCGCCCACCACTAATTCAAGGCTATTTGTTTACCTCATTAGTTTATCACTTGTGTGATACTGACAGTCTCCATTGAGACAAATGTACTGAATAAACGTTCCTGAATAAACTTTCAGAGGAGATTTACTAAGAATGAATTGATAGCATTGTTTATTTGCACCCACTGTCTATGTTGTTTTAGCACCGGTCCGCTAAAGGAATGATTCAAACCAGATAAAAACACAAAATGCTGAACTTCAATTAACACAGCACAATTATCTTATATTATAGGTCAGTTTGAATGGTAGGTTGTGAACTGTAAGAAACAAATGGGAATTTTCTTAGAGTGTGAAGGATGCAGAAGACTACATGATCTGGGGTGAGATACAGGATCACTACATGATCCTGAGAGTTTTGCTTTGTTTTATGAGCCCACTCCTAAAAATAAAGGTTCTTTATTGGCATCTGTGCTTCCATGAAGAACCTTTTACATCCATAGAATCTTTCCACTGCACAACAGATCCTTAACAGTGGAAAAAGGTTCTTCAGATTATTAAAATGTTCCTCACACTATAGAGAAAAAAAATGGTTCTTTAGGGAATCCCAAATGGTTCATGGCATTGCTGCAAAAACTGTTTTCTACTGGTATTTCTAAGCATTTAGAACCTGCTCAAACTAGATTTTGGATGTTTGTGAAGAAATACCCCACACAAAAGAAAATAAATTGTTTAGTCGCCTTCAACATGACAACAAATCTGACCTTACTTACTTTCTTAATACACATTCCCGATTTATACTATGCATGGCAAGAACAGGAGAAACTGTAATGCGCAACAATGTTGGCTCTAGAACATGAAGCCTTCTAAATAAAAGAGCCAAACACCAGTTGGTACAGTCATCACATCACTGCTGCTGGTTCCAAGAGAAACACTTAAGTGTGTCCTCGTGAATGTAGGACTGCACCTGAACACTGGCTGGAGCAACCTGAAATATACTCTAATTATTGTTATTTGAGCGAGAAGGTCTGCCCAAATCAAGACAAATATCTGTCACAAAAATTCAGTGTGATATCAATTTAATTTGAATCGTCTGCTGTCAATGCATGTGTTCAGACCATCACAAACATTTAACCTTTTTTCCATCACAATGCTGATATGTCATGTGCCAGAGCTGCTGCTGTTACATAAAACTTTGACTTGGTGGCACTCACTCAAACTTTGTTTAATGCATCTACTTACATTTTCTAAATATCTACAATATAATATAGAATAATTTGTACCACCACAAATACATCCAGCAGTAATAGCTGACCTATGCTGGGTTTAATGATAGTGGACATTGATCTTGGCAGTAGGTTCCAGTGCAGATTGTCTAGCAATAAACATGATAGTCCTCATATACAGCAGGAAATCATATACAGCAGGTAATCATATCTGTATTTAAAAATCATTACGCTCTTTATGGCTTTTGAAGCCAAGAGCCCTTCCTAATGGACTTAATTTTTCATATCAAAACAGTGACATTGCTACACTGGACGTTGGATACGTTGTAATTAGTGTTTACTAAGGCTATTTTTATTGCTCATATTTACGTGAACATTAATTTTCACCTGCTGGATGATTATATGGGCACTATTTACTGGCACTGCAGGATCAATGCTGTGCAGAGTAAAGAGTGTTCACATGAATCTATTAGATACATTCATAAGGCACCTTTCTATTATTGTAATCAATTAATTGGCCCTTGAGCTTAAAAAATATCAGGCTCTGTTTGAATAATACTTGTAATACTTGTTACATCTGTCGGTAACAAGGAACATGAATGTAAAACAATGCATGTGTTATCTATGTAGGATGGGCTGATCATTCTGGTTGTACATTGTGTGTGTGTGTGTGTGTGTGTGTGTTAATATAATCAAAGTGAAATGCTGTTGCCAGCCATCAACAATGTGTAAATCAATGTTTTGTCACACAGTTCTAATAAAAAGAGTATCTATACATTGGTATTTGTTTGCCCTGTTCTGGCTATATCTCTATAAATTTCCACTTTTTAGAAATATATATATATAATTAATTATTATTATTTGTATTTTTTTCCTGCACATGCAACATCTGGGCATTTGATGAGCACTTTTACTTTTTGAAATTTTCAGTGTGTACACAATAATCACACTATTTATAATAAAAATGGCATAAAATAGTGCATAAGTATGCAAATTAGGATGCATCTAACAAAACTGTTATTCCATATCCAAAACGTACACCTAAGCATCGTTTAAGAACACTCATCTTAACATTCATGAGTCCTGTATGGTTGTGACATGGTTAGAAAAGTGCTTGAATGATTTAAAAAAAAAAAGTTGAAAAAATTTGAAAAACAAGGTCCCACTACAAAACTGTCTCAATATTAGAGAGTGGTCTTACTGTGGGCTGTGTTCCAGTAGCAGCCTGAGCGAGGGTAAGTCCCCTTTAGCTGCAGCATAATGAACAGGCAAGGCCCCCGTATCTGTGGCAACAGTAGGATCCCCTTCCCCACTCTTCAGCAGCCAATCAATGATCTCATGATGGCTGAAGCGAGAAGCCAGGTGCAGGACAGTGGCCCCTGAGCTGTCCTTATGCTGTAAACAACACAGTACATCCAGTATCATACATTAACTCCCATTCAGCTGGAATACAGAAATATATTTCAATGGTAAATTTCTAAATTATTCAAAGGCAACAATCTGCAAGCTAAATGTTATACATGCTGCATGTTATAAAGTACTGACGAGGAACATGGGTGTATTTCAACAGATTTATTTATACCGTATGACACAAAATATGAATCATTTTCGTCACATATGCTGACCCAGAGTCTCTGCTGGATCATATTTAACTGGCCAAAGTTTTTTGTAATCATTCAAACTTGCAGTGCAGGTATGAAACACAATAATGTAACGTGAAGCCCTGCTGCAGACTCCATTGATGGCAGAGATAACTTCCACTACTGCATGTGCACCGAAGGAAAAAAGGACAACAGCAAGAGCTCCAGTTACTTTTTCATTGAGACAAACACATTTTTGAAATGATGAGGTGAGGTGTACCACTAGACCTATAACGACTTTCTCAAACAAAACAAAATTCTAGTAAATCTGTAGTTTTTTCTTTTTAGAGGTATTTCATTATAATACCAAACGACAAAGGTTCATAGACTCAAATGAGGACTAATGAACAAGTAAAGAATTAAGTAAGTGTTTTTTATTATTTATATATACTTCTGGCTTCAGATTCTGCTCCAAACTAATTGAAGATTTATAACAAATCCACTATATTTCAAACAGAAAATATGTTTCACCTATACTGAGAGTGATATGTGATCTACAGAGGTGGACAAAGTACACAAACTCTATTACTTGAGTAAAAGTACAGATACTGCTGCTCAAATATTACTCCGTTACAAGTGAAAGTTGCAAGGACAAATTTTTACTTAAGTAAAAGTACAGAGGTACTTGCTTTTAAAAGTACTTGAGTACGAAAAGTAAATTTCCTTTTTTATGTCAACGCACTGTTTTATTATTGTTGTATGTAATACTTGCAATACCTTATGCCACTGAAGCAACTTACAATACATTACGCCTACTGAATACGCTGACTATAGCTTGTAGTATCTTTGGCAGGATGGTAGTGATCTCACACAGCTCTGGCAGAGTGTGTACACGTATAGGTAATATTTACCTTTACACAATTTTGCTAAATCAGACAATATTAACTTATTATTATTGAATTGTTGTAAATAAATATCACATTTGCAACTGGTCAGTGTTCAAAAAATGCTGGGAAATCACTTCACTTAACCCTTCAAGAGTGATTACTTATAGGCTGTCAAAAAAAAATTTAATCCCCCACTGACTTTCAAGCTGCTACATAGTAACGACTTTCTACTTTGAGGACCTTGATAGAAATGTAGTGGAGAGAAAAGTACGATATTTGTTTTTCAAATGTAGTGAAGTTAAAGTCATAAGTTTCCAGAAAACATAATACTCAAGTAAAGTACAGATACTTAAAAAGTGTGTACAGTAATAAAGTAAATGTAATTCGTTACTGTCCACCTCTCTACATTTACAATAACTTACAGTAAACTAGCTATCAACACAACATGACTGCATCCAAAAGTGTTCAGGCCCAAATAAATGTACTTACAGAATCAGGCTGATATTATTTTCTGTGAACACCCTGAATAATTATGCAGAATCTTAATGAAATAAAGTTTTTTAAACTTCAAATGTGCTTAATTTGTAATTCATTGCCTTGATAATCCTGACTATATTTATTATGGAAATAATATACTTATAAGAATATTAAGTGTGAGCTGAATGTTTTTGGACACCTAATTACATGTACGTGCAATGAAATTAAAAAGTATTATAATTTAAATTTTATATTATATTAATTTTAAATGCAGTTAGTTGAAGTTGAGTCCCTTTTGACCCACTTGAGCAGGACATAAGTAAATCTTTATATGTAATTTCATAATCACTTCTATTGTCTTTGAAATATGGTTAAAGTGTTCTGCCGAACTAAAACACACTGTAATGTCATTTCTATTAAAACATTTGTGATTTATTTAAATATATTTGTAAGTACACATTCGTTATGATAAAGTTGCTATTCAGTACTTTTAAAATACCTTTAAATGTAATATTAAATAACACAATCTACAGTTAATATTATCATCAAAGTCGCCACATTAAATAAGTGTACTTCTTTAAAGCATGACAAAAGATGATTGAAACAATGATTTAAAATGAACTTTAAGGTACGACTTTTCATTTGAAATTATTACAAAGTGCACTTTTAAATGTGTGTTAAGAAATGCAATCATGAGCTTTTTCTTGTATTATCTGCCAATCCATTTTTTAAAAATATATAATTAAAGTACACAAAAAAGATTTTTAAATAAGATTTGAAGAATACATTCAAAATGGTTAAGTGCCTATGTATAATCTGTGTAAACATATAACTCAATAGTGAAAACTGCTTTTTGGCTTGTGATGTGCCTGGAAGTCCACACTTTCCTGAAAACAGCAATTGGATAAAGGCACTAATGTGGCACTTCTATCTCATTCCATCTCATTGTTTTGCATGGGCAGGATAGAACTGTTTGCTCTTAGCACTAAGCGAACACACCGGCTTCATTCCATAATTATACTCGCCGCATGAATCACACACTTGACTCCTGGAGGACAGTATTATCCACGGCACGGGTCAAGCGGCTAAACTGATGTCACACTCTTAGTAGGATCTCGAGAACACTGTTGAGTAAATTCTCTGACCATGAGACTGAAGGTTAAATGAGTGTTATAAGGATCTCCTACTAATGAGATGAGATTTCTTAGCATGACTGGGCCATGAAATCAGTTTATGCCTCAGTGTGGGTGCTGCTGAGCATACATCGATGGGTATGTCTCCATTACTCTTCATTAGACTGCTTTATTTATCTTTTGTCAGGTTAAAAGCGCATCAAGCTTAATGACTTTAAAAGCCAAATTAAGCATGGGGTCATCGCTAATGAGGGGAAAGGTGGGATTGAGTACAAGGGGCCCAGAGCAGTGGGGAGGCTATTTTTTTCCTAAATCACTAAATAACATTCAACGTCACCACAGCACTACGTGAATGCCTGTTTTAACTATGCACAGAAAAATATCTTGATCCACGTCTAATTGTGTGAAATTATGAAAAAAAGGTCATTTTAGCCAATTTCACCCAATATTTTTGAATATGTTGCAAATCTAAATGCTAATGAGAATACCTGAAATTATTATAAAAAAAATTCTGAGACAAAATACTTTTTCAAGGTGATTAGGTTAATCATTTTTATAGTTTTTTTTTTTTTTTTATGAAATATGCATGTGATTACATATGTTATAAAAAGCGAATCATTGAAATTAACCGGAGCCTTAAATTTGCTCAAATGTGTGTTGTTGTTGTTGTTTTTCTACCTTTCTTTTCTTTGTTTCTTGCTATATCAAAAGTATTAACATTAGGTGACAATTTTTACTCCAAGTTTACATAAAGTAGTTATATATTTATACATATTCCACAGAGCACCCACTGTACCCTACTTTATATGTAGTCTAATAATTGTCTGGAGATGTGTTGTTACTGTTGTTGCTACTGTATTTACACGGACACTGTTACCCTTGAAAAGGCTTCGTAAAGATACTCACGGCCGCTCGACATCCTCCGTGCGTCACGAGCCACTGAAGGCAGCTCAGGTTGCCCGTGGCTGCGGCGTCATGCGCAGGACTTGCGCCGTTTCTCGCCAGGCTGCTCGCCGGTAAACCCGCTTCCTCAACCAAATACCGCAGACAGGTGAGCTTCCCCGCTCGCGCGGCGTGGTGTACGGGAGTCGCTCCCAGCACATCTTTCACATCGCTGTTGAGTACCTTCTCAGCTAACTGTACTTTTAGAGTTTGTACATCCCCTCGCCTCGCTGCGAGAAGCGTCCTCTCAACCACCATGATGATCGCAGCGCCTCCAAACTAATGACTATTAGCGCAGCATTAAGCGTCGGTTAACAGAAGTCCACACTACCGAGCGCGTACTCCGCGCAGCCTCCGCAGCGAGTCACTTTCTTCTGTCCATCCCTCTTTGTTTGAATCACCACACCATAAGGGTATCGACCTACACCTAAGAAATATATTCAGATGATCTATTATTATTCATTATATGGCATTTTAGCAAAATAAAATGACCTCCATGCACCGCGTAGCTGTTAGCTAAGAAAACCAGCCAAGCATTTCGTTACGGTCTTACTAGTCGTCAACGTATCCATTGGCTATACTGATCTTGTCTGTGCACTCAGTGCATTTCACCTGTTACGTTCCTTGATTCCTAAGTAAACACAACAAAACAATAACACCGCAACGCGTCCGCTTTAGATGAAGTAAATGGCCCGTTGTCAAACGGTTCGTTCAGAAGTCTTGAGGGACTGAACTTGTGAATAATCCATTAAGGGGAGGAGAACTGTAACGTGTTGGCCCCACTTCAATCGGCTCAGATGTTAAAGGGACAGCGGCGCGTCATGACGGTGTTTAGTTGTACGAGTAGAGTTGAATTGTTTTCTAAAACAAGGTTATTCATTTATGCATATATATGTATTGGTTTGTTTATTTTATGCTTCTTTAAACATGATTATTGATTTGCAGAAGAAGGCCGGTTATAAAATAGACTGGTTCATTTTATTCATACATAAAATTATGCAATAGAAAATGCTGATTGCGAACTCTAGCGTCTTTCGCATTTGGCTCCCAAACTCTGGAATAGCCTTCCTGACAACGTTCGGGGTTCAGACACACTCTCCCTGTTTAAATCTAGATTATTCTCTATAGTTCATCTGTACTCGATATTAATGTTTGTTTGTTTTTGGAACTGGCAGGTATTGGTTTTGTTACCTCGAAGGCCTTACCCTATATTACCAATAGATGGCAGGCTCGCACAATATTTGTATATCACTGTATAGCTGTAGCCTCTTAGCAATGCGTCTGAACATTATTGTTTGTGAAATTTATTCCATCGGAAGTGTTGTGATGTTAATTGATTGTAAGTCATTAAAAAACGATTAAAAAACAGTAGTTTTTCATCGGCGGCATTCTAGATCTTTGGGGGTAAGATGTCTCCCTGAGATTTGGGGCAGAAGGCCACTAGTGACACGTTGTTTTTGGAAATATTATTTAATTTATGATGTTATTATTTAACAATTCCTTGCGTTAGATTGACATTTTAAGCATCTCTGGTCCTTTTAATATTGTTCAGAATCATTAAATCTCCTATTTGACTGTGCTTCTGGTATTTCATTTGACCTAAATTCTCTAAATACATAATTTTACATAGAATGTATGGTTTAATATTGTACATTAATGCCAGCTTTTCATATTTATAACTTAATAGCCTTCATTAATAAATACATTAATACGAATCATATCAAATATAATTTATAGGCTACATTCTGTAAAAAATGCATTATACAGTCTGCAACAAGTTTACCCTGGAGGGCTTAGTGTCTCAGGTAAGGGTTGGCCCTCTTTCTTTCTTTCTTTCTATTTATTTATTCGTTTATTTGTTGTGCAATATATTAGCTAAATTAGCAATTGTTTCTATTTATATGTCCTGTAATATAAAGTAAATGCACATTGAATCGTCCACCATCTTCCCATCTATCATGCATCACGTAGAATGCAATCGTTTTAGACGCGATCTTTATAATCATTCATTCATTCGTTTATTTATTTATCGAATATAGTGTAGGACTACAGTGGGTTTGGGCAAGAACCAAAATGCTTTCATAACGTTTACTTGGTGTTCCTTGTTAAACTCTGAAAACACGCGAGAGAGTCTAATTTGTCCCAGTCGATTGGCGTGACCTGAAGCTAGTCCATATGCAATATTGTACTTAGATTTTGCGTTGGGGAAATTACGATGGGGAAAAAAAACAACAAGAAATTAAGTACTTGTAGCCTACTTCTAACGTTCTAGCCTTCTTCTTTGTATGTAAATGCAAAGCAACACCCCGTCGTCTCCATATGCGCAACAGCAATTGCTGGAGCTGGCGCCTGCCTGATTGATGTTGACCTCTCCTATTGGCGTCAGTCGCGTGCCATCCTCATCTATTTAACTATACCGAGAAGCACGAGCCAGGCTTATTAATGGATAATCCCTCAGGGGCTGTGCGAGACAAGTCTCACAGGACAGCTCGAATACACACATCATAATCCCGTTACTTTTGTTAGATTTGTTGTTTAAATCATTAAAATGCTCGGTTTCTTTCTTTCTTTAGTTATTTATTTTATGTTTTATTTAAAAAAAAAAAAAAAGGAAAATTTGCATTTATCTACAATCGGGTTTCATTAAATATATTTAAATTTCAGGTTCTAAATTGTATATTTAAAATGCATTCAGTCATACAAATGCTTTATAATTAATCTTTGTAAATTAACGGATTTATTCTTACTCAGAATTAAGTACAAAATTTGTAAAGCTGAAATCGTTAGATTTAATAGATATCTGTCTGATTTACCTTTATTTATTTCGCTGGTGTGACCTAACTTATTTAGTTCAGTGATTCAGTGATGTTAATATTTTTGTCTAGAGTAAAATCAATGAAATGTGATAATAAACATATGTTTAGGTTTACATTTTCAGTCTGTACTCGGTTAGATATTTTAGGCTACACAGTCTCCAACTTGTCACAATTCATTTCGAACGCATACCTATTTAAGATGTGGTGTTTTCTGCGACCCGGGTTTAGGCTTATTCACTTTCACTTAACATCATGTTGTCAACATCTTTTTGTGGCCTATCAAAGATCTAGGTCACGCCAACAGTTAAATGAGCGTGTCTCTTCTTCGTCTAACGAATATATTCAAATTCCTCACAAATTACTCGTGTGAAAGTATAGGCTACCAAGTGCAATTCAGACAGATAATCTAACGGTCATTCCCTGAAAGGAAGAGAGCGTGGGAGCCTGGGAAAAGTGGCATATAAACTGCACGCGTCGAGCGTGTGACAGTTATTCAAATGTACCTCCAATTAGGCCAACGAAACTCCATCTCGCATGAGACTGTTCCAAGATATTGTTTAACCTCATCCACACAGTGTTGCCAACTAATTTTCATGGGAAGTTGCTAAAGGAAGGTTGATTTGTTGCTAAAAGTTGCTAAATTATGTTGTGATGACATTGCGTGATGACGTCATTACGTAATCACGATGCAAAATTGTCAAATCTCAGCAAAAACATATATATATTTTATATATGTTAATTTAGATTTGTTCGTAGCAATATAAATGCATAATATAATATTAAAATATAAATAACTATTTTTAAATCCATTGAATTATCGAAAACGTACAGATTTTTGAACGATTACAATTGAAGTTTTATACTTTAAAGCAGTTTATTAGTAGTTAGTTAGTATGCTGCACTCTAAGAAAAGTAAAAAATAATGCACAATCTACTGTGTTAATATGAAGGAATTTTCTGGATTGATTTTTCCACAGGTTTTTGTACCTGCATTTTTAATTACGCATTGTATTTTGTGTTTTCGGGTTATAACGGATAATGTGCTGGGAAATTACTAGCACCTTTTCCATTTTTCTGCATATTTTTCTTACAGTGTACTGTAAGAAACAGTGTAACTCATCAACAATCGCAGGTACAAGCTACTAACAAAGTGTCTCATAAATGAAAAATAACAGTATTCGATGATTATTACTATTAAACAATTGCAAATAGCAGCTAACTTAATTCCTGTAACGTGTGTGTACGAGGAAATGGACAAAAGCGTCCAGCTATCGCTGTTTGAAAACAGTTTTTTTCACAGAAAAACAGAAACGTTTGGAAACATGAGTACATTAAACATACGATTGCGACAATACACAATATATGGTTTATTTGAGTTTGTCAAGTTATCTCCAGGTAATAAATAAAGTACATGAACAATGCAGTGCTAATTGCCATAGCATTTATTACAGTATAGAAACTATTCTGCCTTATTATGTGATAAAATTGGAGCTAAACTCTGCAGGACACCGGCCCTCCAGGACCGAGTTTGGACAGCCCTGGTATAGTGTATAATGTTACAAACGCTTTTTATTTCACATAAATGCTGATATTTGGATCCTTCTATTCATCAAAGAATCCTGAAAAAATGTACTCAACTGTTTTAAATATTGATAATAATAATAATTTAAATTTTTTTATTGAGCAGCAAATCAGCATATTAGAATGATTTTTGAAGGATGTGACACTGAAGACTGCCATAATGATGCTGAAAATTCAGCTTTGATCACAGAAATCATTTAAAAATATATTCAAATAGAAAGCAGTTATTTTAAATAGTAAAAATATTTCACAATATTACTGCTTTTAGCAGTTATTTTAAATAGTAAAAATATTTCACAACATTACTGCTTTTGCTGTACTTTGGATCAAATAGATGCAGGCTTGGTGAGCAGAAGAGACTTCTTTAAAACATAAAAAATCTGGTAGGTTATATAGATTACAGAAATGTATATATATAACATTTCTGTCCCCCTCACTTCTGAAATGATGGCTACGCCACGCCCCTGGTTTGAGTCACATCAAAAGTTGCTAAAAGCTGCCAAATAAAATGTAAAAAATAGCTAAATTTGTTGCTAGGTGCCTTTGGAAGAAAAAGTTGCTAGGGTAGTCTGAAAAGTTGCTAAATTTAGCAACAAAATTGCTAAATTGGCAACACTGCATCCACAGAGAGTGGGGAAATCAGACAGTGCACTCTGGCATGCGCAATCAGCACTTGATGTGCATTAAAGGTGAACACTTGCAGGAAAACCCGGTCTCTGCTGCCACCTTTCGGTGGTTTAGTTACATCGTGAATTGAACGAGTGAAGTGTGCAGATGATTTATAACCAATTTTAACAATTGATTAACATGCTGACAAACCCAACGAGTAAAGTCTACAATGTAGAAACGGCTGTTGTTGTTTTAAATTATTTTTTTTTAAATAAAAAGTTTTGTTTTATCAACATCCTAGGACCAGTTTGTGGCTATCGCCATGTGTGTAACCTACTTCTGTTAATAAACGGAAGTAAACTATCAACATCAGCTTATATGAATGGATATTCGCGCCCTTGCTTTTCTTAAACGATTAACAGCAGAATCGGTGTATGATTTTCACCACGTCTTTTACCACAGTACTGGAAGCAGTCTGGCCAATCGATCTACCCTCCAAACCTGCAGCTCCTCCTGACTCAGTCCATTTCATTACGACACACGGATTTGGGTTAAAGACGAGCCGCGACGCAAGCTCACGATGTCCATTTCTAATGCACAAGCGACAGCATCCATCCAGATATGCAGGTAAGACTCTCTTATGTAGCTCTAACCTTTTTAATGTCTCAACGAACGGATTTTAGGTTACGTCCGATATGAAGCGGCCCTATAATCCGAAGCCTGCTGCACAA